TTTTTACCCCCCCCCCCCGAGGCCCTGGAGGGGGCCTCGGGGCGGGATGGGTGGCTGCAGGATGAGCCTTCGTGTGCCATGAGTGAGTGAGGGGGGGGGGAAGGATCCAGCAGCGTCGGGGATCTTCTGACCCGGGTCAATCCAAAACCAGGTCAGTCAGCCCTTGCAGAAGCCTGCAAGATACGATCCTGCACCCAAACCCAGGTCAATGAAGGATCCTGCAGGATCCTGTTTTTTTACTGTCTTTGAATCTTCCTCCTGTATGTGGGGCGTGCCACACTTCAGGCTGGCCCGGCGACGCGCGGGCGCCCGAGATGCGACGACACGAGGCAACTCAGGCGTCATCCTTCTGCGGTAACTAATGGGAGCCTTCCTCCTCCCTCCTCTTCCTCCTCCTCCTCCTCCTCCTCCTCCTCCTCCTCCTCCTCAACCATACCTCCTCTACCATACCATACCATCCTGTTGACTCTTGCGAAATCGACGCTGATCGACGCTGAATCGACGCTAGCCGACGCTGATCGACGCCAAGCCGGCGCTGCCCCATCGATTACCAGACGCTGGCGCACGCAACTGTATTCCACAGACGCCACTGCAAGGAAACGCGAGGCTCCCAAGACCTACTCCCGAACGATCCGATGCATCCAACCCGCGGCCCCAGGCAGCACTCCCGACTCCTTCCCCTGGAGTCCATCTATTCGTCCTGGACTCACTTCTCATGGCCCTGGGGCCGAGACCGAGGAAACACGGCGGTGTGGAACACATCATCCTGTCCGAGATCGGAGCGCACACAGCGTCGTGCAAAAGTCGGGTCGGGCGAAACGGGGGGATCGCACAGGGGGGGGTCCGAGAATCAGCTACGCAGCTGCTTTTCCCGGCGCCTCCCGGCGCCGGAGGAGGCGATGTATCGAAGAGTGGGCCCCTCCGTGGGGCCGAAAGCAGCTGCATGCAGCAAATTTCGTAACCCCCCCTTTCCCAATCCCCCCCCCTTTCGTTCGGCCGTGCAAGAGCGCACCAGGAGCCCCGGGCCTCACCGTCCTGCGCGGCCCTTCTCGGGCCGGGCCGGGCCGGCGATCCGCGTGGGGCCCAGGGCCCGAGACTGGGCCAGAAGCGCCCGGTGTGCGAAAGATTGCGGCGCCATGACACTGAAATCCGCGGCTTGCGGGGGTCCTCCCCCCCTAGGCACTGACGGGGGCCCAGAAGCGCAGTGGCCGCAGTCTCCTCTTCGGCTGCGAGCAGCCCTGCTGGGGCCTTTCACAAGCGATTCCGCCCCCGAGTGGCCACGAGGCTGCTCTAAGGCGGTTTCTCATTTACCTCGCACTACGTTTCTCTGCATTCGGCCGAGGGCGTCTAAGCCTTTAGGAAGCCTGCCGCTATCACCTACAACAATATTGCAACGCCCAAATCTCAGGGTTGGGGGTCAAGGTCAAGATAAGCCCTGACATCCTCTCGTTTTGAATGAATTACGACGGATGTTGCTTCCCCACATTCCTTCGGGAGCCATCGCTGGGTCTGGGGACCGTCAACAAAAACGATCCAGGATGAGAAGGCAGTCCTATGGAAGGGGTCCAGACCTGTGCACGCCACGCTGTGGCAAAATCACGACGCAGGATGCTTGGAGGGGGACTTGCTCACTGGGGGGGACAACGACCCTGAATCGGCGATATGTCGCCAGTCGATCGGCGACAGGCCCCTGATAGCGAATCCGCACGTTCGTGGGCGGGGTGGGCTGTCAGGACCCCATCGGCAATGAATGAGCGATTGGGATTCGATGCGTCCTCCCCTGAGCCCGCCCGCCCCAATGATCCTCGTCATCTGGTTTTCGGGTCACACCTCGGGTCTCTGGCGGCCGTTCGGGGCGATCCAGGCCCGCCTGGACGCCTCTCGGCGAGGCGCAGCTGCTGGGAAGCGTCCCGAGGCGACAGCACCTTGTGGAGCCAGCGACAAACTCCGACAACCCGCGAAACCTCGCTCAAACACTGACGCTGCGCCTGACTCATGGAGGGCCCCTGACGTTGCCCCGCCAGACTCGGAACCGAGTTGGTCAGGTTGAGTTGGTGTTTGAATTAGCTTCCTTTCTTTTTGACTCTGGCCGGGAGCAGCCTTGGATTAGGTCGGGCGTGCCCTCCCTCCTACAGGCGGATGTTGGACGAAAACTCAAACATACTCAAAAAATGCTCAAAGAATAGCCAAAAATGATAATTAATTCGTCCCCTGGCTATTTTTTGACTATTTTTGAATAGTCCTCCTGCAGAGGGACGTGCCCGACTTAAGCCTTGGACGATTCTTGGCGGGCTTCCTCGCGCTCTACTGCTTCTCTTGGTTCTCGGTCGAGGCGTGTCCAGGCCAGCGTCCCAGGGTCACCTTCAGCTGCAAGTGGAGCTCGACCACGGGACGCCCTCCACGAGCATCCCAAACCTGAGACCCCAGGACGTCCACTGCTTTTCGGTGTGGGCACGCCACGCTTTCCACAGCGGAGCCATCGACATCCAGGAAACCCAGG